TGTGGGAACCATGTGAGAGAGCAGCGGCGGCGCGTCCGCCCCACGCGGGAGCAGAATGCCAAGTGAGTCTAGCGTCAGTCATCGGGGCGGCTGCCGAATACTCGCTCAGTCTCGTGGCCTTGATGGTGATTGGTTGGACCGCACAAACGTAGAAACTGGCGTGGGTGGTGTGTGTCTCATGCGCCAGTTTGCGTCCGGTCGAAGACGGGCCGAAAGGTACATTCGCGCAAGGTCCTGCTTTAAGTGTATTTGTCTGTTACGTCAATAGTTAGGTGGGCGTTGGGCTGAAAGGACCACTAAAGCTATACGTAGGAGTGCAGTTTAAGCTCGTTTTCTGTAGGTCTGGTTGCTTTAACCCGCCTATTTATTCTGGTATACGCTGACGTATCCTCTTAAAAACTCGAAAAGAAGCAGGGATTTCAAAAAGTGACTTTAATCGCTTAAGGGATGCTATGTTCAAACAAAGCACCATTATCACTTCTTTTATCAGACATTGATGCTCGTTTAGCAGCTTGGAACGATGAGTCTGCAAACATTTAAATGGTGATTTAAACATTTGCTTTGAGCCATCCCTTTCCTAAAAATATATTTGAAGTTCACGGTCTCGCGGAGTTAAGTGTCTATCAGTGATATTTCGGTGTACTTCCAGTAACGCTTTGAACTTCAATGTACGTAAGAACGTCAAAGCTTCCAAAGGCACGAAGGAGAAGGTAATTTCCACTCGGACGATTAACAATTTAGGCATTAATTCAACAAAAATATATATTTTAAAGGGATCTTTAAAACGCAAAAATGGATAAATTGCGCCGTAGGTAAAGTTTAAGTATGGGTCAGTTTGTTTTAAAGTTTCAGTCCATCAAGTACTCTGTCTTAGGAATTCTCCTCACGCGTGTTTCCCAACTACTACTTTAATAGTAGCTTGGCCTGTGCGAAGGTCATTCCGATCACCGCCATTATGCGACAGGTGTTATCCAACCTGGCGTTGTAATATGCCACGGCAGCCAAGACCAGGATGCCTGGAATGCAGTTCAGTAATAAGAGAGTTCCGGAGAGTTTCTCCAAGGAGCCTGCACAGCTTTTGACGGCGAATACGAAGGCCAGGAGTGCTAGGGCGAGGGCGCTGGCAAGAAGGGCCCCTAAAATGTGATAGGCGTCGCTCCTTGGCGAATTCATGCAGGATCCTAGGACAGTATCACAAGGCCAGTGTGGTAGGGAGTGGTGAAATGAGTACCGGCGGCCGTTGCATTTCGTAGTATGTTTGCTGGCATGCCCCTCCTACCGATTTGAAACGAGCGCGTTCTAAAGAAGAGGTTTTTAACTGAGTTCTCATGCAAACAAAGCAGATTCCAGAGAAGGCACATTGCTACTAAAAGTTGGACCTGTTGTGTGCGGGATAAAA